TTTTGAAAAAGCAAGCCTTCTTAAAATGAGTCACGCGCGATTGACCAAGATTCATATTGCCCAAGCTAACAGTATAATCCTCTCGTGTGGAAGGTGATCGAGCTAGGAACGATAATTTATTATTACAGTCGTCCAACACACAACTGAGCACAACGCTTTTAAAAGAAAAATGTTCGCAAATGTCTGTTCACTATTACATGGTACTGTTGGTACACATGTAGGAACTGAAACGAAAAAAGAAATAATCAAAGCAAGCCTTTATCGAGAAATTGTGTTGAGAGTGATGTGATTCTCTGTGACTTTAGAATTTACTGGTTTTGTCAAGCACTAATATATAAAGTCGTCCCAGTCTTACATTAAGTTTAAAATACAGTGCAGGTCTTGATTAATCGAGCTTGAGCATTGCCAGACTAACCGAGACAAATTATTTTTTGAAGGAATTTTAATACAATAATTTGCTATAGAAATGGTCCGCTTAGTAAGGATACCCTATGTTATTACAGTACTATTTGCCGACTTTGAGAAGTGCCATATTATAGTTAATATTAGTAGCCTTGAGCCTATCTTTTCACTAGCCATGTCCAAGATAGTTTTAAGGTAGGTTATCAAGTGTTTCATGTGAAACAGATAGCTTTCAAATAGCCTAACTTTTCACCATCTATTCCAAGATAGCTTTTGGATAGCATATTAAATGGCTTTATGGCCAATGGATAGATTTAAGATAGGCTGTCTTTTTTCTATCTACCACTAAGTTGGTACTAAGATAGTAGAGAGTTTAACTTTACAAAATGAAAATAGCCATCGATATCAGATAGCCTCGCTTTTAACTAACTCCAGTGAAGATAGTTTTCAGATAGCTGAGATAGTAGTTGGTTAGGCTATCTTTTTGCTACCTACATTAGGTATTAGTTAGTTTTAAGATACTCTATCTATCTCCTAACTACCTGGCAGATATATAATAGTTAGCTCAAAACTAGGACAGAGATAGCTATGCACTATCTGCTCAAACTCTAAAAAAGCAAAAAGATAGCGAGTTTTGTTGAGGAACTAGATTTTAGATAGTGGATACTAGTTTTAAGATAGCAATAAACTAGAAGTAAGATATGATCATTTTTGTAAGGGTTATGTTTTTACCTCCTCTTTGACAGACTCGTCGGAATAAATTTTTCAGCCCCATCGGTTCCAAACAAGCCTGAAACAACGAAAAAGGCAGCAAAAACAATCTAGAAATTCTCAGGCCTGTAGAGGTGATCAAGGCGTTCTTGAACGCTTACCTTGCCAGGTACATTGTAGTCGACTTTCGCTCTTCCATTCCACAAGAACAGCGAAAGATTCTATATTTTAACTCTGATCTTCTTTTCAGCAAAACGTTATGTTTTGTCACTGGAGGGGATACCACAACTAAGTAAACAAAACAAATCTTTTAATTTATATTAGCATGCAGTTTTTTGGTTATCGTTTTAGTGAGATGCCCACTAAATTTTTGCACTACTTGCAAAAGACCACCTTGTTTGTTTTTCTCACTTCAGCACCCCTCTTAATATCTTGATCTTTTTTACTCCCCCCTCCCCCCACACCACCAAAGTGTTTGAGTTAGGAAGCTCGCAGTTTGTGAAAATAGAAAAAAAGAGCATACCTTATTTTCCGTTCCCTGGGAGGAGCCCCTCTTACTGAGGACTTTGAGCAGGACATGTTTGGTATTCCCCAACTGGAAACAGTTAACTGTAGTGTAAAACCCTACATTTATTTACCTTAAAGACAGACAAGGCGACCTTTGCAGGGCAAGCTGTTTTGCCAGAGAAGCCCAGGAGACTGTCTGGGACTTCTGCACCTGAGGGTGAATGAAATTACAACTGTTTTTTAGGACAGTATCCAATAACAAATAATTTAGATGTTGTGAAAGGTTTGAACCCAGGAGTCATTTCAAAAGGTTGAGTTTGATCGTCCGGGTGAATGAGTCCTGAATAGGACTGTTGTTGTTGTCAGTGACTGACGTTTCGACAACCTGTGCGGTAGTCATCTTCAGAGTCAAAGTGAGTTGTATCACGTCAGTTGATGGTATTATACTCTGGTTATTAATCTGATTGGTCAATTATGTCGCGATATTATTGGTCGTCTGTCAGTTAAGCCGTGATGTTATTGGCTATGAAGACTCATGATGTCACTGGTGCGTTTCGATCCTTCTATCCTTCTTCTCACTTTGACTCTGAAGATGACTACCTCACAGGTTGTCGAAACGTCAGTCACTGTCAACAACAACAGCCCTATTCAGGACTAAGTTCATCCGGACGATCATGTTTCACCCGCTTATGAAGAATTCATAAGGTAAGAACACGATCCGATGTTCGAGTTTTTGGCAAAAAACCGATTTGAGATTTATGAAGTACGTTCAGCGAAACGGCATGCCCAAGTAGTCTTTTGTTTAAAATTGAAAAGAATAGCTTTCCCAGACAACTTGAAACACAAATGCCCCAGTAATTCGACGGGTTTTTTGCACCAG